TCGCCGATAGATCGGCGATAGGCCTCCGATGGTGAATCCGCTCCTTCCTGGGCAGGTTGGGGCCACTGGGCCCCTATCCGCGATCAATGGGCGATTGGGGCTCGATGCCTCCCCCCCAGGGCTGAAGCTAAACGGTGCTTTTCGTTTTCCTTTTGTTTTCGTTCTCCCTCGCTTTTGCCTCGAAGCTGCCTTTCTCGCAAAAGACGACATCGAGACGAGAACGGCCCACGAAATCACCACAAACACCGTTTAGGTCCAGCCCTGATCCCCCCCTATTTGGGCGTTGGTAGAACTGGGTTTAATGGAACCTGGTTTAATGATCTGTACCGGGGGCGCCCCCCCGTCCCATTTCCACTCACCGGAACTGCCGTCACCCGAGAAAACACCAGCTATGGCAAACCTGGTTTCGTGATTCTGGCCGATTCGAAGGCTCCGGGGCCCTTCCACGAACCGGGTCCCCTTACCAGGGGTCATGGCTACACCCGCCCTATGCCCATGTCGGGCGCGTCCCCCTACAGGGGGATTTTCGACGAAAAATTGAAAATACCCCAAAAATGCCCCAAGAAGATCAACAAAATACTCAATAAATAGTCCCCAGACTATTTTTGGATTATTTTTGGGTTATTGGGGGGTATTTTTGAATTTTCGTCGAAAATCCCCCTGTGGGGGGACAGGCCCGACTTAATCCTGGCTGCACCCGCCCTATGCCCATCCCCCCCGCTCGTTGCCCCTGACGACCCGGGGCCCGGCGTGCCGGCGGGGAGAGGAAGGCCGGTCGGCCCACCCAGGCGGCACGCGGCGAGGGTTCGGCGGCGACGCACGACGGCAGCCTCCCACACCATTTCTGTTGCGTCGGCTCTCGCGGCGCGACGGTCTCCTTATCGAGGCTTCCTCGGAGGCTTTCTTCCAGAGGCTTCCCTAGAGGCTCGTCGGGGGCTTCATTGGAGGCTCCTCTGGAGGCTTCCTCGGAGGCTCCTGCGAGGCTTTTCTTGGAGGCTCCTCAGTGGATTGCGTGAAGGATTCTGCAACGGTTCTTCAAAGTTCTCTGGGCTTCCTGAGGGTTCATGGAGGATTCCTGGAGGTTTCCGAAAGGATTCCTGAAAAATTCTTGTAGGATGCCTGCGTGATTCGTGAAGGATTCCTGCGGGTTTCTTTGGATTCCTCAGGATTCATGAGGATTCCATCGGTGTCCTTTGTTTCCTGAGGATGCCCGAAGATAGCTTAGGAAAAACCCAGGGATCCCTGAAAAACTCATGAAGGACTCCTAAATGATCCCTGAGGGTTCCTGAGGTTCCCTTTCGATTCCATTGGATTTGCAATCCCTGCGGATTTCTCAGGTACCCGGTGGTTGCCTGAGGATTCTTTTGGATTGCTCTCTGTGGGCTTCCTTTATGATTCCTGAGGGCGCCTGGGGATTCTGTAGACTTCCTGAGGTTCTCTGAAGGATTTTTGGACATTCATTTTTTCAGTGTCCATGCACGGGTTGAGGTTCGAAATGCGGATCGCGCGGATGTCTATAGCACTCTTGTGGTACGCTTGCCTGCCGGACCTGCGACGCATCATGTCCTGTAAGCTGCAATCGGGGCGCGGTACTCCGCGAGATTCTGTAACGGAGCGGCGCGCACAAACATACATAACAAACCGTCAATCATGTGCTATGTCGTCTGAACGCTGATCTATCCGAATGGTGTGGAAGGCGCGCACAGACACCCAAAAAGTACACGCTGCATGCTGTAAGCAGCGGCACCGTCAGCGCAATTATACAGGCCAGCTCAATTCGGAAAGCGGCGACTCTGACATAACCCGTCGAGGCTGCACTGATTAGTCTGAATGCTTGGCAACCGTTGGGCTCTTCAAGAGAGTTTGGCCACCGTGGTCCTCCTGACGAGGGGCGCAAACAGCCGATCCCAGAAAGTAGTGTACACTGCCAAATGACCCACCGCCTCAGCATCGGGAGAGTAGCGGTGGTGGTCGTCGTGGTAATCTGGCAGAGATAGCAGACTGCAAAGGGGATGGCCAGCCTGCTTCCAACGTAGGAGAATATGCAAGGGAGGCAGAGTCATGTTGAGATGCTCCATGACCCCGTACCACTTCGTGAACGCATAGAACGCCACGATCAACCAAGGTCGCTCCTGCAAGAGGCCTAGCCAGGCAGCGAAAATCACCGTGGTCGCCTTGCACATGAACACGTTCAGCAGCCCTTCCGCGTCAGACTCGATGTCGTTGGCCCAGGGAGACAGGTGACGGACGTCATGGTGCTCCTTGTGGTACCTCCTGTACAATACTCTGGTGTGCATCGCCCAGTGCAGCAGGAACGACATGAAGTCGAAATACAGGAGCATGCCGACAAAGGTCAGCGCCGTCGAGCAAAGCTCCAGCGAGTCGGACGGCCAGAAACCAACAGCAAGATTCGTGGCGACGACTGCGCCCCGCCTGGCGCTGCAAGCATACGTGATGGCGTATATCAGAGGGTCCATCCAATAGCCTCGCACCCGGGAGACCCGGGCCTGCCGCATGGCTGTCAGTTGATATGGCATCTGCCAGAGCGACGCTCGCACACTCGTGGGCGCCCCTCCCATGCCCCCCTTGTGGGCGTGCCGGAAAGGCTGCAAGGCCTCGGCACCGAAAACCCAGTCCACGCCGACGTTTGGAAGCCACCACATCATTTCCGTGGCCAGGAACGCCGAGGCACAGAACTGGCAACCTGCTGAGAGGCCCAGGGCCACAAGCGCACTGTTGCAGCAGCTCACCGCGGCAGCCGTGGTGGCAACTAGCAGGACCCAGTACAAGTTCACGCACACGACGAGCTTCGAGGTCGGCTCTGCCCTGAGGCCGTGCGTGGCAGGAGTCTCCGAGGCAGGCGGGAGGCACATGGCTGCACAAGATCGCAGGCGAGGGCGCAGACTTGCAAGCTCCAGGGTCGATCGCTGCCTCGGCACAATCAAAGGCCTGAGCCGAAATGGCTACGGAGAAGGATTCTTGGACATTCCTGGACGATCCTTCCAGAATCCCAAGCAAGCTTGAACAAAAATCCCTGGGGAAGCCCGATGGGCTCCTTCTGACTGCCGACGACCTTTATGTCGGGCGTGTCACCCTACAGGGGGATTTTTCGACGAAAAATAAAACATACCCCAAAAATACTACAAAAAGGTACAAAAATACTCCAAAAGATAGTACCCTGACTATTTTTGGATTATGTTCTGATTATTTTTGGGGTATGTTTCATTTTCCGTCGAAAATTTCCTTGTAGGGGGACAGGCCCGACTTAAGACGACCTCCCTCGCGCGGGGGGGTCCCCCGGCTCCGAGAGCGGCGCGTCCGAGGGAAGCGCGTCTCGTGCCCTCGGGGGTCAATGGAGGACCCTCGAAGCCACGGGGAGGGGGGGCGTGGCCGAACAAGTCGCCCTGCCCCCCGCCGGAGGAGGAGGAGGAGGAGGAGGAGGAGGAGGAGGAGGAGGAAGAGGAGGAGGAAGGAGAGGAGGAAGGAGAGCAAGAGGAGGAGGAGGAGGAGGAGGCGGGTAAGGAAGAAGAGCAGGATGAGGAACACGAGGGGGAGGAGGAGGAGGAGGAGGAGGCGGAGGAGGAGTAAGAGATAAGAGAGAAGCAGGAGGGGAAACAAACAAGGAGGGAGACAAGGAATGCGGCACGAGGGAGATGAGGATGAGGAGCAGGAAGACGAGAACGATAAGATTAAAAAAGCAGGAAAGGAGGAGGGACATATCGGCCGATGACAACGAGGATGATATGTCGGGCTTTCGAAGTGCGTTGTTGTGGGAGGTGTGTGGGTATGTGTTGTGAATGTATGCTGTTGTGTTGGATGTATGTTGTTGTTATGAGGTGATGTGCTTTTGTGAGTTCTTGTTACAAAACAGAACAACTCCCACATCAAAAAGAGTAAACTGATAGCAATTCCAAGCAGGGCGCCCATGTTGATCCCCAGAATGATCGTGCACCCTGAAGACGTTCATTTGATGTCTGGATCGTCATGAAAAAACTGTACGAAATGAATCCTATTGAAGGCACGAAATGGCTAGTTGTAATTGGTACCAGTTGGTATTTTGGTATGTTGAGAAGTGTCCAAGTCGGTTGTACTTGGTATCAATCGTTTTGGATTGGTCCGACATGCGGTTCGACCCCCCCCCCCTCCCGTCACGGGAGGAAACGGGGGAGATTCGAACCCCCCCGCGCCCAATCCAGGGAGGGGGGGTGGTCCGGTTCCACCCCCCCCCCTCCAAGCGCCCACAGAACGCGCTTTCCGTACATACATACGTACATGCATACATACGTAAGTACGTGCGTGCGTGCGTGCGTGCGAGCTTGCGTGTGTGTGTGTATGTGTGTGTGGGTATGTGTGTGTGTGTGTGTGTCACGTGTGTGTGTGTGTGGGTATGTGTGTGTGTATGTGTGTGTGTGTGAGTGTGAGTGTGAGTGTGAGTGTGAGTGTGAGTGTGAGTGTGAGTGTGTGTGAGTGTGAGTGTGAGTGTGAGTGTGAGTGTGAGTGTGAGTGTGAGTGTGAGTGTGAGTGTGAGTGTGAGTGTGAGTGTGAGTGTGAGTGTGAGTGTGAGTGTGAGTGTGAGTGTGAGTGTGAGTGTGAGTGTGAGTGTGAGTGTGAGTGTGAGTGTGAGTGTGAGTGTGAGTGTGAGTGTGTGTGTGTGTGTGCGTGCGTGCGTGCGTGCGTGCGTGCGTGCGTGTGTGTGTGTGTGTCTGTCACACACGTGTGTGCGCGTGTGTGTGTATGGCGTGTGTATGTGTATGTGTGCGTGTCGTGTTTGTGTATGTGTATGTGTATGTGTATGTGTATGTGCATGCGTATGCGTATGTGTATGTGTATGTGTATGTGTATGTTTATGTGTATGTGTGTGTGTCCGCCACCGTGCCTTTGGGCACGGAGTGGGCGTGACCTCGGGTCCTTGACCTAATCCTGGAAACCTTAATCCACACTCCTGAGGACCCTGTCTGGGGCCCGGAGCACCCCAGGGCTTCTCACGTGCACCCCAGGGCCCGGCGCATCTTCTCGCGTGACCTGTTCGGGCCTAAGATGGCCTCAGGGCGGACCAAGAGGGCCCCACGAGGCCCTAAAGACGGTCCACTGGGACTCTGAGGCGCCGAAAGATCGCCCCAAGACGTCCCAGATGGCCGCAAGATGGCCCAAGAGGCCTCCAAGACTCCCCACGAGGGGTCCAAGAGGCCTCCCAAGAGAGCCCCAAGAAACAACACGAATTGCTTTTCCTCGTGTTCGAAGGATGTTGGCGTTCTCGCCTCATCTGCTTTCCGACGTTCGAAGACGGCACAAGAGGCTCCCGAAACCACCCCATGACGGCCCAAGAGGCCTCCACGAAGGCCCCAAGACGGCCTGAGGGCGCCTCAAAACAGCCGAAGAGGCCCAAAAAGGCACAGGAGGGCCCCAAGACGGCCCCAAAAGGAGCCCGAGAGAGGGAACGCGAACAGAAAATCAAAGTCTTCTACCAAGCCCCCAGGATACATCAAAATGCGCTCAAGAGGCCCCTAAGAGGCCCCTAAGAGGCCCGAAGGGGCCCTCAAGAAACCCAGAAAGGCCCCAAGAGTCCCCAATGGGGCCCCGAAAACGGCCCCCAAGAGGTCTCAAAGCTGCCTCCAAAACTGCCTCCACCCACGAGATCCAAACGAACATCCACTGGGCTTCATACCCATAGCCCAGGCACGGTTGCGGGATGGGCCGATGGTCATTCGGAATTCGATACATGTTTACCAGCGCGGTCCCAAACCGTGTTTCTAGCAAACTATGTTGTGCGACCTCTGTGGTGTAACATATGATATGGATACCATAGATGTCGTGCAACCTGGGTGGTGCGATCGATGCTGCACCATCTATGTGGTGCACTATATGTTGTGCGACCTATGACGTGCAATGCGGGTGGTGCAGCATACGTTGGGCAATCTACGTGGAAGAATATACGTGGTGCAATCCATGTGTGCAATTACGTTGTGTTCGCTTTGAATTGTCAACACCACTGTTCGCGCAATCGTCCCACCCACTCACACGCAACTTAGTTTGCAAAACCCAGGCGTCCGCGATTGCGATGGCTGCCTGGCGCTGGCTCGCGCGTCGCTGCGGCCGCGCTAGTGTACGCAGGCTCGCGCGCCAACCGGCCAGCTAATTTTGCGCGACCGACGCGGCCGCGGTGGCGCAGACCGATAGGAACTTCCCGATGCGTCTCGCAGGCCGCATTGACGCGCGGGCACTTCAGTGCGAGTCGGTCACTCGGGCGGGCGCAGTATCATGGCGACGTCGACAAAAGCAGACACGATGATGATTGTAGCGATGCTTGTGACGACGATGGTAATGACGACGCCAAAAACGATGAAGGTTTTGGACGAAATTCAACATGCGCGCGCGGCCGACGGGCGCGAGTGACCCACATTGCATTATGTGAAAAAGATTGTGCCCCCCAACACGCGCGCGCGCAAGGGCAGCGGAATGATTTCGACACTCGCGCGCGGAGAGGCCCGAATGTTGATCCCATAGTTGTCTTAAGAATTTGCAAGAGCGCGCGCGCAGACGATATTGGAACAGTCAGGTTGCACAACGATGTACATAATATGTTGCTGGACACTGAATTTTGAAACCCCTGCGAAATCTGAAATTTTTGCACGCGCACATGTTTTTCAAAGGATGATGGGGGGAAATTGCCGGCATGGCTGGGATGGTATGGATTCATACTGAAAATGAACGATGGGGTATAATCAGATGTAAACTGCATATCCCTGGGATGTATCGATAATCCAAGGGGGAGGGGGTGGTAGAATCTAATTCCTTTTTAGACCCGAATACCTGGGCCGGCACGGAAACGGAAAGAGCGCTTCAGAAACAGAAACCGAAATTACTCACACCACCGTTCGTACTGGGAACCTTGGCGTTGAGAGCTTGTTACGTCACCCCTCGCTCTTGGGGGCCTTGGTGTGCAGAGATTGTTGCGTTGCCGCCCGTTCCTGAGCCTTGGCTGGGCCTTGGTGTCAGGAACTTGTCACGTCACAGCTCTCTGCTGGGAGCTTTGGTCTTATCAGCTTGTTTACGTCACCGCTCGCTCTTGGGAGCCATGGTGTGAAGAGCTTTTTGCGTTACCGATCGCTCTTTATTTGGCGTCTCTGGGCCTTCTTGGGAGTCCTATGGAGGCCCTTTTGGAGCCCTTTTGGGGGCCTCTTGGGGGCCTCTTGGGGCTTCTTGGGAGCTGCTTGGGGCCTCCTGGGAGCTTCTTGGGGCCTCCTGGGAGTTTCTTTTCGGTTCGTGGTCCCCCTCTTGGGGCCGTCTTGGGGCCGTCTTGGGCGCCTCTGGGGCTGTCTGGGGGCCCTCTTGGGCGGTTTTGGGGGCCTCTTGGGAGCCTCTTGGGCAGCCTTGGGGCGGTATTTGGGGCCTCTGGGACCGTCTTCAACGCCGTGAAAGCCGAAAAGCAGTGTATGCTAAAAATGTGTTTTCCCGTCGGAAATCCATGATGTTGGCCTCCTGGTGGCCTCTTGGGACGCCTCTTGGGGGCCTCTTGGGGCTTCTTGGGGGGCTCTTGGGGCCTCCTGGAAGCGTCTTGGGCGAAAGGCTAGACTTTTCGGTTCGTGGTCCCCCTCTTGGGGCCGTCTTGGGCTCTCTTGGGCCGCCTTGGGCGCCTCTCGGGCCGTCTGGGGGCCCTCTTGGGCCGTTTTGGGGGCCTCTTGGGAGCCTCTTGGGGCGGTCTTGGGGGTCTTTTGGGCCGTCGTCAACGCCGTGAAAGCCGAAAAGCCGTACATGCTACCAATGTTTTCTTAAGGGCAATCAATGATGTTGGCCTCTTGGGGCCCTTTTGGGACGCCTCTTGGGCGCCTCTTGGGGGCCTCTTGGGGGCCTCTTGGGCCGTCTTGGGCGGTATGGGGCTCTCTTGGAGCGCTCTTGGGCCGTCTTGGGGGGTATGGGGCTCTCTGGGAGCGCTCTTGGGCCGTCTTGGGGGGGAACCCGAAAAACATACAAAAACCCGAGGGACAACCAGGAAATGGTCATTACCAACCCTGCGTTCCCCCCTCGCCCCTCCCCTGGACCCCTCCCTTAAGGGCTTCGCCCCACACTAGAA